CAAGCCACAATCATCTTCTCTTACCTATCTCTAATTTGAACTTTCTTCTAATTTTACTCCAAATAACTGATATGTCTTGTTTATTGCAATCCATGTGTGACTACCAAACCAGACTACCAAGTTCCATGTCCTATTTTTTGTTTTGTTTATGTCATAGGATAAAGCACATTAATAGGTATCATTATTTGGAATAAGATTTCTTATAATACATTGATATGAATCTATGTTAATATGATACAAATATATTGAAATAATTTTAATTAATTTGAGAGATACCATGAAGCCATAGATTAAAATTACAGAATGTTGGAAGAAAGTTTATGTCTATCTTTTAAAAAAACTCTTTTCCATCACATCTTTGTGAAATTCCCTAAAAAGCACAAAATTGACCAGTTGAGAATTTGCTTCCCAGCCCTGCCAGGTACCATGAACAGACTTCCTAAAACAGAGGCATGGTCAGGAGTGAGGAGGAAGGCAATAGCCTCAGATAATCCCCAAACTGAATGCTCAGGGATCACTCAAAAGCATCCCTGAATCAGTGACCGCGGGCTGCAGACCCCAGAGCCTGTATTTCTGCAGGGTCTCTGCCCACTGGCTCTGCTGTATAAACTTTGACAGGCTCTGAGCCCTTTGGGGCCTCCATTTCTTCATGTACAAAATAAAGGAATAAAAATAGAATCTCCAGTTCTAAAACTGTTTAAATGTCCTACTAGCATAATGACATTATTGTCATTCAGAGCCATCTTTGAGGTTGTGGCTGAATGAACTCCACTCCTATATACATTTTTTAAACTTAGAATATCATTCTTATATTCAAACTCAACACTACCAATAGCTTTGTTTCCTAGGACACTTATTCTCTATGCAAATAGACTGACTCATGGAGATATTAGATGGATGTGACACTGTTGAATTGCTACATGCAGGAAATACTCAAATATTTATACCTTTCTCTTCCTCCCCAGAACCAATAAATTCAGGAGACTTAGTAATAACAAGAAACGACTACACCCAACTGTCAAGAGCATAAAAATATTGACATTGTTCCCACAGGGCCTCCAGAGGCTGTAGCACTAAATGAAATGTTTAGTTTCCAGCAAAGAAATCCTAAATAGAACATTTCAAGCTTTGTCTATTGCTGTAGCAGAACTGAAAAAATCAAATCAAAATGAAACACAGAATTCATTACAGGTGAAAGGCAAGAGTTAGATGAAGATGTTTTTGCCTTCCGGAAATAAATAACAAAATGCAAATGCATGATTTATACACATTTGCTTTTTGCATGAAATAGACTCAAGAAAATCATATATAACAGAAACAGAAATCGGCACCCTAGGACAATAAAAATCTGAAGAAAGAACAACGTTGGCTTTCGAGTTCTCTTTGGCTGTCAGAAAATATTCATTAGTAAAAATAAAGAAGCGCCATATTGCCTAGCAGTTATAAAGTGTAGTTAGCACTTTTAAAATAGCTTACCATCAACCCATGAATGGATTAACAAACTGTGGTACACGTGTAACATAGAGTACTATGCAGCCATCAGATAAGATGGAGACTTTACATCTTCTGGGTTTACCAGCCACATACACCGGAGGTGAAACACAGTCTTCTTAGCAAAGTGTCTCAAGAATGGGGAGGAAGTATCCAAGGTACTCAAGACTAATATGAAACCATATCTATTTTGTAGATATAAAAACATTTACATGCCCACATGAAAGAAAAATACAAGTCGAGTCTCTCAAGGGGAAGGGGAGAGGAAAAGGAGAGACCTGGGTGAGGGACTCAGCTACAACTTGAACTTTACCTTAGAAATGAGAACAATGTAACCTAAACATTCATATCCTCATATCAATCTGAATTTAAAAAAAAAGCTTAATGAGATTAAAAGGAAGTTCATGGTGCCTACCACCTGCCAGACATTCACAAAGGGTTCAGCCTCCACTGTGAACACGACAGGCAACAGATGTCTCACACCAACAACACACGTTGTGTTCATATGTGAGTAGCTAAATTCTAACATTTGCTTGCCATTTTTAAATTTATAATAAACTTGGTAGTTTATTGGTAGACATGACCTATTTAATCATTCGTCAGCACAACCATGGCTTGTGGTTAAGTGCTTACTGTGTTCTAGCCCTTTCCCAGACACTGAGGGGCAGGGAGGAAAGAGATAGACGTGGCCATCATCCTTCAAAGTTGGCATGGACAGACTCTCAACCAGCTCACCCAGCGTGCCAGGTTGAGTATTACTGTCCACAGTTTACAGAGGAAACTTGGGTCAAGCAATTGGTAAGCGGCAGAGTCAACACTTAAATTCAAGCCTTCTGATTCCAAGGCAAGAACAACCCACGCTAGATTCTCCTGGATTTAAAAGGCAGATAAGGTACTGAAGTTACATGACTAACAAAAGTGAAGAAACAAATATTACATGACACAGTTTGCAGTGTGAATTTGATGATTATTCCTCGTGTATAACAAGGGCTGAGTCTAGGCACTTGGTAAACACTGATGAATAAAAAAGATGTGAAGGCCAGGTGCGATGCTCACACCTCTAATCCAAGCACTCTGGGAGGCCCAGTGGAGGAGCACTGGAGCTCAGGAGTTTGAGACCAGCCTGAACAAGAAAGAGTGAGACCTGTCTCTACCAAAAATAGAGAAACAAAAAAAATTAGCTGGGTGTTGTGGCAGGCACCTGTAGTCCCTACTACTCAGGAGGCTGAGTCAGGAGGATCACTTGAACCTTGGAGCTTGAGGTTGCTGTGAGGTAGGCCGATGGCACAGCATTCTACCCAGTGCAACAGAGCCAGATTGTCTTCGAAAAAAAGGCATGGAATAAGACGTTAACTCTAAGAACCTACTCAAGGACTGATGGAAATTCCCTGTG